TCTTCACAGTATCCAACAAATATTGTTTCTTTGGATTTTACGTCCCATTTTTTCTCTTGCTGCTTTGCAACCAAATATTTTCAGGTGCTCTAAATTAGATTTTGTACCACTCCAAGCCTTTTCAGGTGTTTTATTTGGTACTGAAGTTGTAGGATTTCTATTTTTCAAGTAGCATGCAGTATTAAGGGCTTCTGCCCAATAATCCAATGATAAATTTGCATCATAGATTATTGAACGAGCTTTTTCAATAAAACAAAAACGAATGATTTTCTCGTAAAAACGTCTGTGAAAGTGAGAAAATATATCTTACCACTAAATGACTTTTCTTGCATCGGGCCACATAAATCTGCATGAATTAATTCCAATTTCTAGGTAGCTCTCCAAACTGCATGTTTCGGAAAAGTATATCGGTGTTGTTTTCCTTGCAGACAACCTATACAGAAATTTGATGCCGTTAGCTAGTCCTCCTTTCAGACGTTGCATTTTTACTGGACTCAGGTGTCCTAAGTGACGATGCCAAATTTCAAAAGATTTATCATCTTTCATCAGCAAACATGCCAAATATTCTTCGTCGTAATCCAGCTTATGCAAGCTACCATCTGAAGATGTGGCAACTGCAAGTAAACGATCTGTAACATTGTCAAAAATTTCACACGTATTCTGATCCTTAAAAATTGTTCGAAGTTGTTTCCTGCCAAGTTCTTTGCAAGAAATTAAATTAAATTTTAACCCAGAAACATATCTAATACTTCTTATTGGAGTGTTAACTGTAGCTCCATAAATTTTTAATGGCAAAATTGTTTCTTCAATACCCGTTATCTAAAAATGTTCCCTTGATGCTGTTTTAACTATTTCTCCACTTTTAATTGGAACAAAATTACAAAGCCAATCTTTTCGGCCTGTTAAATGTACAGATGCACCAGAATCTATATACCAGTGATTCTCAGAAAATTTGCCTGCTCCTAAAGCTATATTATTTACAATATTTACAACCAAACCAACTTCGTCTTTTCTAGCATCATATCTTTTTGGAAAACGGTAGTATTTACTTTTATGACCAAATTTATTAAAGTTATAGAATTAAAAGCCATTTCTTCTCAAATTAGTTGGAGATTTACCTTTGTTTTGAGTTTTAGTGAATAATGCCGAATCTTTACTATTATGATTTTCATAGTTAACAGCTTCTGCAGATAATCTTTCTTTTACTAGATCTGTGATTAATTTTAAGCCACAGTTTTCCAACGCCATAATCAGAGGTTTGTAGTAATCTGGTAGACTAACGAATATTAGAGCTGCTAAAACGCCATCCTTTATTTCATTGTCGATAACCTTTAACTGCTGAGTTATTTTTACCTTTTTATTTAAATATTTATTCATACCTGAACAATCATTATATCGAATCATCACAAGTTGTTCAATTAATGATGCGACTCTTGAGAATCTCTTATATTCAAATACTGAAGAAAGTTTATCCCATACTTCCTTTCCAGTTTTTAATTCCTTTACTTCTATATAGATATTATTGCAGCCAAAGCTTTCTTCTCCAGCTTCTCGTCCTTTTTGTTACCTTCTACGTATTCCCATGGATCACAATTAATGAGGCGAATCTCCATACTATACTTCTAATCAATATAATTCTCGCTTCCTTCCAACTTTTCAAAATTTCCTTGAACGGAGGTGACTGTGAGTGACATTTTTTTCCTGTTCCAATTGTCAATTTATTTCCTAAACTTAATTTTCTTCTTTCGGAACTCTTGGAACCCCTTCTATTATATTCTGATTTTCAGAAATATAAATCGCCAGTTTTACAGCTTCTTCTGGGCCCACAACCACTTGTAATTACTTAATAAGAAATAAAATCTTTTAGAGATTGAATTATTAACGTTTTTATTATCGGTTGCTACAACAAGTGTTTTGTTTTAAGATAAAACATATATACAGTATGTACCAAATTTATGGAGGTATTTCGTTACAATATAACCAACACCCCCTTTTTATTTATTGGTTACATTTAATTCGTTCAATGCAACAATTTTGTCAGAAGCATAAGGTTTATTTTTATTATTTGAAAATAATATATTCAAAATGTAATTTACGAAGTGCGTATTTACCATTTTATATGACGTGACCTTATTTATATTACAGGAAACATATTGCTTATGGAATGTGACGTTATATCCCCACTTTTACTACACTTCTCTTTTATTCAGACTATAGAATAGATTTTACGGTACAAATTAACTAATACATATGTTAATTGTGAATTAAAATTTAACATGAATATACAGAATTTCTTTATATAATATAGATGTACCTATTCATTATAAAATTAACACTTAGAGGTTTTAATTTCCACTGCAAATACCTACCTAACAGTATTACCTATATATCTGCTAAATGTGCTTTACTAATTTTAATCTTTTGTTACAGGTACGTACCAATTGTTTACGTTAATAATACTTAGTTGAACAAAAATCAGGTAAGTTTATTTATTTAAAAAATAGCTATATAAGCAATACTTAATATTTGTAAGTTTTTTCGGTGCGGTATTGTTCTAATGATCAGAAAATTAAACTAGGAACTAGATAGGTATAATACTATACCTACCTACTTTAAATTTCTAACTTCTTAACTTTTATTCATTTACTTCCTCTTCTTCGTCTATTTTCCTAACTTGCTCGACTCTTGTGCTCGATGCGAGTAAATTCTTGAAGGTCACCTTGAGATTGTTCGAAAAAAACTAGTGTAGTTCTTCGAACCGCTATGTTAGAACAGTGGCGCTCTGGTTCGTCTATTTTTTTTACCTGTTCCGTATCAGATCTACCGTTTCATCGAATTGACCTCTTTCCTGGAATTCTAATTTTACGCGTATTTGTTGACGATCCATACAAATGCGAATCGAAATCGAATTTTGTGTGAACACATTGTTCGAACGAGCTCTAATAAATGTTTGGATGCGGCTTCTGGTAATTTTCCTGATTCCGCTTCCACATAACCCGATTACCGACAGCCAGTGGCGCCGTTGTAATTTTTTTCTTAAATGTTTTTAATAATTTCTCCTCTTTTCCCATACCTTCATTAGTCAATTTATCCGAAGATTATAGGATTGAAAGTTATTTATAGTTTATTTGAAAATGCATGATTACGTTGCTGGATGAGGATCGCAATATCTCATGCTTGCCATCGAAAGGGCGTGGTTAAACCAATTACTCTTTTCATCCCTTGCATCCAAATATAATTATGCGTCTCATATTTATTTTTCCTGATGCGTCGGGTTAACATACTGTATACAACATAATTATTAAAACAATTTCATTTTCCAAATGTCAATATATTTTACAAATCAATAAAAAACAACCTTGATTATTTTACATAAACAATAAAGACCATTAGTAAATAAACTAGCTAGTGGATTAGGTGGTTTGATAACTTCCAACACTCCCCCTTAATCCAATAGTTAGTTACTAAATGATGTAACAAACAGTCCTGATTTCTTAACACAAAATTCATGTTTTGGTTTTGGTACAGATTTTGTGCAAAAATCTGCTACCATTTCAGCTGTGGACAGATAGTCCAAAACTATTTTATTATTGTCAATTTTTTCGCGAATGAAATGGTAGCGAATGTCAATATGTTTGGTTCTTCTGTGTAATACTGGACTATCACAAAAGATTTGTATTGGAGGGCATGATCCCAACAATTTAAAAAAGAGGCTTTTCAAGTATATAGCCGCATTGGAAAATGTAAAAATAAATCCTGTGAATGATTTTGTGTCTTTAACATCGCTGCCTCAGTCTGCATCAGCATAGCCGATAATACTCTGCTCACTATCTCCTTTGTAAACTAAACCCAAGCTAGAGGTTTTCTTTAAATATCTAAATACACGTTTCAATGCCTGCCAATGTTCTAAAGAATGACTGGTATTAAACTGGCTTAAATACGAACAGGCAAAAGAAATATCTAGCCGTGTCATAACACTTAAATACATTAAACATCCAAGAACTTGTTGGTACGGTACATTGTCAATAGCAGTGTAGTGGTCTTGAAATCCTACACTACAATCAAGCGGTGTACTGACTGGATTGCACTTCTCCATATTAAATTTTCTTAACAAGTTTAAAATGTATGTTTCCTGACTTAAGGTAATCTTTTTGTGATGTTGCATAATTTTAAGTCCAATCAGTTGGTAGTTTTACCTAAATCTTTAATTTTAAAATTCATGGAAATCTCTTTTTGACTACTTCCTTGTGGTCATTATAAAATAAGAAACAATCGTCAACATACAAAGCTAAAAAAATCATGCTGGAAGTAATAATTTTAAAATACATACAACGTTCATTATTTGATCTGTTAAAACCCAACGTAGTACTTCAATAATTATTTTATTCCACGATCGAGCAGACTGTTTCAATCCATAGAGTGCCTTGTGAAGAAGGCATACTTTCTGTTCCTCCCCCTCAACAATGAACCCTTCTGACTGTTAGATGAAAATTTCTTCCTCCAGGTCCCCATTAAGAAAAGCGGTCACTACATTTAGATGCTCCATTTCAAGAGTATATTAAGCAGCCAAAGCAAAAAGTAGACGAATCGAAGAATGACGAATAACGGGAGAAAAAGTCTCAAAATAATCGATTCCATACTTTTGCCTAAAGCCTTTAGCAACAAGCCTTGCTTTAAATCTAGTTATTTATTTCTCTATTTGCATCACGCTTCAGTTTATAATATTTTTATTATTTGGTTTATTTACCAGCTCCCAGGTGTAATTCTCCATAAGCGAATCAAACTACTTTTCATAGCGGCCTTCCACTCATTACTGTATTCTCCAGATATAGCTTCATTGACAGTTTCAGGTTCCTCCGGTTCTTCAACTTTACATATAGTTTGGTAAAGTATAAAGTCTGGATACGTTTTAGAAACACGTTCTCGCTGTGAATATCTAGGCTCTAGGCTTTGGAGGTAGTTCTACAGTTGGGGTTTGTTGTTGTAAGGCGTTCTCTTCTTCACAGGATAGCGGCGTTATCATACACACCCTCTGGAACTTGGATTGCTTCCAAATCTTCTCGAAGAGGTATCTCTTCGAAATTTGAAGACGAACTCAGAGAAAACAAGTCATCTAAAGCAACTATACCTTTGTAAAAGTTATTTTCTGAGTTTCAGGATTAAAGAGTCTATACTTTAGATTCTTCGCTGTAACCCACAAATTTAAATTTTTGGCTTTGTGCATCAGGTTTTTTCGCTTTTCTTTAAGAATATGAAAAAAAAAACAATGCAACCAAATATTTTTAAATGGCCAAGGTCTATTTTATTGCCAGACCATTTTTCTTCGGGCGTAACACCAGGTAGAACTTTAGTAGGCGATTAATTAATTAATTAATTAGATAAACGGAAGTATTAACAGCTTCTTGCATCATAGTTCTTGCCTTTTCCATTATGGTTCGATTCATTCTCTCTGCTACACCATTCTGTTGTGGAGTATATGAAACAGAGAACTGATGCTCTATTCCTGATGTTTTAATCAAATCTTAGAAATTTTTATTAGTGAATTCTGTACCATTGTCGCTTCGTATCTTTTTAATCTTATTGTTAGTTTCGTTTTCTATTTTTATTTTAAAATCTTTAAAAAATGATTTGGTTTCATATTTTGATTTAAGAAAATAAACAAACACCTTTCTTGTACAGTCATCCACAAGACTGAAAAAATACTTGGAGCCACCCCAAGAAGTAACGGGCATTGGTCCGCATAAATACATATGCAAAACCTCTAACTTTTCTTTTGACATCTTATGTTTATCATTTTTGAAAGCATGACGGCTTGTTTTCCCTTAATGCATGGGTGCCACATACTTTGATTTTCTTTTACTATACGGAGAATGGTCGCACTGCGCAGCTTTCTGAGTGCCTTTTAAAAGGAGATAGAAAACTCCGCCATTTTGAACCCTTATAATACAGTAGCGACAGCTTGAGTCGGCTCCTTTGATGTCGGGGTGGTCGGATTTTTATTGACAGTTGACGTTTTTGCCGCTTATTTCTACACTGAAAAAAGTAACTTTAAAATATCTTGACCCTTTGTCTGTTTGAATAAAATATAAAACAATAAATGAAAGATGAAAACTAAATCTATATATGTTAAAAATGTATTAAAATGTGAATTAAAACCAATCATAATCAAAACAATCAACTACCATTGATCCATTGACAATTCACATATGCCAGTTTGACGTATTTGCCGCTTATTTACGGACATGCGCAGAAAAATATGGAACCCTTATAAACAATGAACTGTCGCTACTGTATTATTACTTATACTGGGCCCTTATTACGTGTTGCCTTCGAGCATATATATTTCATAGAGTCGTCCGCATTCAATAGGGTTTGTTTACGTTCTGAGGGGAAATGTCAAGACACTATTAACAGTGTCGCATCATTTTTACGGGGTTTGCAATTAATATAAATAATAAATTTGATAAATACCTTCAAAATTCTTTAAATTATGCACATATTTTATAAACTTGCATTATTTAAGTAGGCGCCTATATAGTAATAGTAAATAATAATAATAATAATGATTATTATTATTGTTTATGTTGGAAATATCAGATTTTTTTAATTCAAACATCAGAAAGTGTATAACGGAAAAAGGAAGGTTGAAATAATAGGCAATAAAAAAGATAAGAAGCTTATATTTAAAAATCAAAAATATAAATAAATAGTAGGTATATTATACAAATATTTATGATCTCTTGACACACGTGTACAAGAATTACAATACAAGAACATTTTCCAATAATTTATTAACTGCTAGTCGTTAACAAATAAGTGAAGCTTCCTTCATTTTTATTGGAAAACTGTCTTAAGCTTCAATTGTTTCTTAATTACTAGGAGTGCAAATAATAGAAGCTTAAAATGACTTTTTTATTGAAAAATTCACATTAGGTTTTGCTGATTTTTTAACTACTATTAGTCTACTTAATTAAAGAACATAGGTAGATTTAATAAAAAATAATTATTGTCAATTTTTGTGGTTTATAAAAAATATGGGTAGTAATAGGTAATTATTATAAAATAAAATGTATGTTGTATTAAAAAGTACTTAGTTATTTGCATGCTTTCTAATTCTGCGTTTTCTTTTTCTGCAACAGAGGCATGATGGTTCAGATCATCACTGAAAAATTAAAAATTTTAAACGATTAACCCACAAGAAAAGTGCAGGGTTCTTTACCTTTTAGATTCATCTTCTTCTGGGGCCACATTAAATTCTGATGGCAATGCACCTAGAATTAATCTAGTTCTTCCTCCACATCCAGTCTTTGACATAAATATATACCCAGAAAAATGATTGGAACATAAAACATCACTATTTGAAATGTTTTCTGGGGTAAGTTTAATATGTTTCACTAAATGCGTTTTATCGGCAGGATTAGCTAGAAACCTACAAAAAACAAAAATTATTGATTTAACATCTTCAACATTATCATGATAAAATGACTTAAAAACAGAAAGCTTGTTTATATTGAAAAATTATGATTATTTTTTTTTAACTTTTCAGTAGAGTCCAAAATCAAAAACAATGTTCCTTATACATATTACAAGTTCTTTAAATTTAATTCACTAAATTTACCATTTATTTTAAATTTATGTTTAACGGCTTTTTTCATAAAATGTAGGTAGTGTTTCTTTTAAAAAAATGGTAGAGACGCTAATGGTTACTAACCTGTGAAATGCCCTTGACGATGCCTTTTCTTATTTCTATTTACAACTTACACAAACTCTCACCATTGTTAAAATTTGTATCAGTAAAGTAACAAAATACAAAAAATCACTTATAAACTACAAAAATAAGCTAGAAATTAATGAAAATCAAAAATGAAATGACAGTTCTGTCAATTTTGAACGATTTGACATGCCAAGCAAAACGAAACAGACCAATAATGGGAATGCTGGACACTATTTCCCCCCCCCCCCCCCTATACCAAAACAAAGTCCATTTGAACGATTGCTCTAGCATGGAAAGGTAGATTACCGTGATGAGAGATGGGGAGTGCGAGAAATATTAGCAGTGTTGTCAGTCTAGTACAATTGTACTACATCTAGTACATTCTCTATCTGGTACCCTAGTAGATTCGAAGCAAAATCTAGTACATTTTCTTTTTCAGCGTGTTACCATTTGACGCGTGTAAAATATATTGTTGAGATTTTCTATATTTCACTTAAAAAGGCTTAAATTGAGATTCGGCGTACCGCACACCAAAACAAAATAACTATATTGGGCTGAGAACCAGAGGGTTCCAAGCGCCAAATCTAAAATTGTTCAGAAAATCAATATTAATGTTTGACATTGGTACAAATTTATTAAACGAAGTAATTATCTGATTTTTAAAATTTTATGTCATTATTCATTTATTTTCTAAGTAACTTGTGCTTATGTGATTTTATATAGATTATAAAAATAAGTAATATACATTAAAGTTTGAAAATTTGACTGTACTTAGAACCTTAAGAAAAGCTAAATTTAAAAAACCAGAAGGTTCCAAGCGACAGTTTAATGAAAATGAATATAATTTATTAACAAAAATTTGTGAAATTGAAATACAATTAATAAAAAAAAAACTTTTATTTAAATAGGTAACTATAATTGTTTAAATGGCAACAACGGAACATAAAAAAAAATATATAATGTAAACCAAAAAAAATTATTTATTTTTAAATTCTGAAATAAGGGCTTTCATGTAAGTTTTATCTTCGAGTGGCATCCATTTATAAGCAAATTCTATTGACTCAATCTTTTTGTTTGTAAAACTCTTAGTTTTAAAATTTTTTACAGGCTCAATACTAAAGGTTGCATCCATCCTATTTAGTTCTTTAGATGTAAGTTTTTCTTTGCGACCTTTTGTAGTTTTTACTTCTTTCTTTACATTTGTTTTAATAAATTGTGAAGAATGATTTTCCACTTTATATTGCACCTCAAAAGGACTACCTTGCAAAAATTTCAATTGGCAGACTTTGCTGTAAGGTACATTACCATAATTGAAACTATCTGTACTTTTTTTATAATCAAAAAAATGTCTGGACTTCATGTTAATAACGCAGAAAGGCTTTTTTCTATCAGACTTTAGCAAAAGTTTTACAAATGCAAGTGGGGACCATATATGTTGTACTCGCATAAATTTCTCGATACGGGAATGAATGTTGTCAACAACCTGTATACAGGAATATTTCATTGTTATATGTTTGATATTTTGATACCTCTGTAAAAAATTGGCTACAGCTAATGAGATAAAACTGTTCCTATTTTGAGGAACACAGCTGTCGCTCCAGGTTATTATTTCTGTAATGTTGGGATTGTTTATAACAATTTTTTCAAGAATTTGCATCAGTGCACTTGCCAAGTCATTTCCAGATCTACCGCATGTAGTTTCTGACCAAACAGCGCAATAACATTGCTTGTCAGTGGAATTATGTGCAGTTAAGTTATAAACATTCATTTTTTGTTTATAAAACAGGACTGAAACATCTGATTTTGGTACATTAATAACATTTTGTAAATCAAAACACACGACAGCACAGTTCACATCTGTATTTTTACCATCTTGTTCCCGTTCTGTTCTCATTAGGTTTTTCTTTAAAATGTGCTGGCTGTTTAACAATTCCAGTTCTTCACTCATTCTGTTCTCCCGCTGGGCAATTTTATACTCTTCACAAAAATCACATCGGTCACTTTTTGGTTTAAGAAAATCAAGATTATATTCATAGTTAAAAATGTGCCTGTACAACGAAACACTTAGTGGACGAATTTGCTTTTCTAAACAATATTCAACGTATAATTCATACATTTGGTTAATGTTTAATAAAGGATCAAGGTACTGTTTTTTAGAGTCGGATCTACAGTAATGAGACTCCACGTGAGGAAAAGACTCTATGTGTTGTCTTATTTCGTCTTTACTTTCCTTTGTAATACGATCTTTGGTATATTTCCCCCGTTGATCACTTTGAGGTGTACCTGCGTCAGATTTCTTCAAATGAACATTATATACTGGCTTTTGGCTAACACATAAGGTGGTCAAAAAAAAACTTTTACATATTCTTAATTTTTTGTTTTCTTTTTCAAAAAAATACTCAAATGAAAAAGACCGGTAATTTGTAACACTACTTCTTTTTCTTTTTATTAGTATTCTTTTTGTGTTGTTTAATAAAAAATAATTTTTACTATTTTGATCCATAGAGTAATAATTATTTTTTATTTCTTCCCTTAGTTCCATTGTAAAGTTTTTTGTGCACTGAAATCTGCAGCTTTTAGTGCAATATTTACTTTCATCAATCTTTTTTGCAGGTTTTAAATCTCCTTTACTGTTTATATAACTTTGCCTCTTTTGGTACTTTTCTTTTCTTTGATTACTTTTTCGTAGGCTAATATTTCTGTTTCGTTTACGTGTCCTATACTTTGCCTTCTCCTTCATTGGGGTTTTATCTGATGATGATTCGGATGTTTCAGAATCAGTGTAATTGACAATACGATTATCATCACAATAAGTATTATTGTCTTTCTGATAATTTCTACAAAAAAGGTTAATGAATTAGCAAAATATACTAGTACCAATTTCAATATTCCTTACTTGACTATTGAACGATGATCCTCTGGTATTAAGTTTTGAACATTCTTATTTGCTGAGCTTGAGGGCTCCCCAATTTCTGGAAAAAGTCTGCAATAAGATAAAATTTTAACTTAAAAACTTAAGGTAGGCAAATTGTTTTCATTAAATTGTCATACATTTCTATTTATTGAAAAATACTTTACCTTCTGACTGCTGCTACACCCTTTGATTTTAGAAATAAAAGAGTTCTCATGGTTTAAATTTTCGCTGTCGAAGCTGCTCTCGTTTGATAATTGTAAATTTCTAAAAACATTGAGGTTAAAAATTCTTAAATACATCGTTTAACAAACAAACCTCTTTTTAACTTCATAGTCGGGCATATATTCAGATCCAGAGCTTAAAAAGTCGTCAAAGGTCCCTTCTTCTGAAGTATCTGACATATTACACGGCTTTTAAGCCACTAAGAAGCATGAAATTGGCACAAACTTTTAACTTGATGACATAAACAACAGAGTAAACAATCACTTGGAACCTTATGATTCTTAAAAATGACGTTCATTGTCGCTTAGAACTATTTTACAAATAATGTAGTGGTGCTATCTATGGGAATAGGCTTAAAGTTTGTACAGCAAACGATGCAGGATTCTATGGATCTGATTTTCTTGCAATAAAACGTGTTTTGAAAAAAATGTCGCTTGGAACCCTCTGGTTCTCAGTAATTATTATTAACTTTGCTCGTCCTGCTTGTTTCAACCTTCTTATATTCACTAGCATGTTCGAGAGCTGTCTAGATAGAATCTGGATTATCTGGATCTCCAACTTTGTTGCAGTCTTCGTTCCATCGTCAACAAATTTTCTTCTCTTTTCATTGGAAATTTCTAACCCTAGCTGTTTTTGCTTACTGAGCATTTTTATGAATTTTTGACAATTTTCAATCATTTTGTTTTAGCTCCTCCTATAAATTTTAATTGTATATTTTTCCAAATGCATCTTGAAAATCTTTTATGTTTTAATTATTATTTTTTTGCTTACTGAGAATTTTTATGAAATTGTTTTTAAAGTTCCATTTGTGAATTCAGCGCAAACGGTTAGTAACCAGAATTTCGCAAATAACAAATACGATTTTTACCTGATTTAACGGTATTTTTAAGATGAAACGTTTTTTGTCAACACCTACTATAATTTATCGCATAACAAAGTTGCGATATCGGTTCATTTTGTGCAAATAAAAACCGGAAAGTGGGTCATGCAAGGAACGAACGGTAGCAAACAGGTAAAAGGAGAAGGCACTTCAAAGAACTAGGAGAGGTTTCGTGTATACATAGAATTTCGTCGAGATATCTCAAGGTGACCTTCAGCTTTAGCGTTCGGTTCGGGTTGACTGGGGCTGGCTTTCGTAGAGTGTGATTAATCGTAATTGTCGGTGGTGGTCGATTTTTCGAGGAGCGGCTCTTATCGTTTATTTTTAGAATGAACTCCGATACCCGTAGCGATTCTATCGGTGAAAAATGGTCGGATTTTTATGATACCTACGTCAAATTTATGGGTAGGTGTAACTAACGACGACTATTTATATTGAACAATGTTTAATAGGTGTATACTATATATTCCAGGTTGGTTTCAAAGAGTCTTAGGTCACGGTCTTCGATAAATATTTCTACGGAAATCCCAGCTCTGTTTTGAATAAGTAGTTTGTTTCAATATAAAAATGAACACATAAATGTTATAAAAACAATTAGTACCTACACGACTGCTGGACTGCTTAAGAATGTTCAGTAAGCAGAATAGCCAGAGTTAGAAATTTGTAATTTTTTACATTGAAAATAAAAGAAAATTTCCCACAAAATGAAGAATTTTCATGCAAGACAAGGGCGGCTCTTCAATCACATGGAATAATTTCAATTTCTTTTTAAAGTGATAGTTAAATAGCCCAACCAATAGAATTTAAATGTAGCCCTAAGCCAGTTGGGTTCTTCTCGATTCCTTCGTAGATTAGTCTATAATTGGACATCAAATCGTCAGAAACGAGGTCAGAAATATTTGATATATACTTCTAACCAACCCTTCCTAAGTACAGGATAGATTTTTCTCATTCTTACTTATGTAACGAGTAATAACCATAGAAATAATATAGAAGACCAATATTATAACATTTAAGCAGAAATTTAAATCTACTGTGAATAAAAACGCGTCTCTGCGCCTGACATCACAAAATACTGTGTCTAGAAGCATGCGCAGTATGCATGACTTATTCCTGTAGTGTTACCAAGTTTTTTAAACATACCTAACACAAAAGAATTTCAAATTAATTTTTTTTTAATTATGTATATGATTTAAACAGTTTGTATCTACGAAATATCGCCACAAAATAACTTATAAACATTTAAATAATCAACTAATAATATTTATGTGCAATTACATTCCCAAAAATATGTACAAATACCATATTAATGTTCAACAAGCGATTCACCTACAAATTCAATATTGATCTGGCAATACCACTTAAATTCAGTGTTTTAAAGCTATGTGACGCTGCCCTTACAGGACCGTTTATGATATTTTGGCTTGAATTTGAGGTTTATTATTTAAATACACGGTGAAAGTGGCATTTTATTTTTAGTTTTGTGTAAAGTTAAATCCTAGGTACAATAAAAGACATTTTTACATTGGCTAATGAAAATAGAATCAATGTATTTAGCAGCTGTTATATTTATTGCAAGATTTATGTCTGGAAATCTAAACCTACCTAAGAATTATAATTATGTAAATAGAGAGCTGCCCAGCGACGGGGAGACATTATCGGTATCTGACAAAACAATGAATGATTTTTTGTTAAAATAGTAAACAGGCTATGATCTTATCATCTGAAATATTCTGATAGTTTGATTATTTCCGTTTTATTTTAAATGGGATGCCAGGTCTATTATTCCTGACACCGATACTTGATACCAACATGAAATGTTGCTTAGTTGGAATATATACCTTTACACAACGCTCATGACGTCACAGACCGTGTTTCAGTCGGGTATAATTTAAAATAAAGAATTTTAAAATGAACCCTATTAAATTGTACCTTTATTTAACATTTATGGCATAACTGCCCGAGTTGACATCGGGTATATTTTCAAATGTAGAAACTGAAAATTAACCCTATTAAATTGTATCTTTACTTAACATTTGTGACGTCACTGGCGAAGTTGGCATGGTATACTTTCAAATGCGGATTTCATGGCATTTTAAAACATAAACCCGATTTCGCTTTTTGGCTGGCACAACAATTATTTACATTTTTTCATTCCTTATCGCGTGCGGTTTAATGAAATTTTAAAAAACCTACTTTAAAAATGAAGATGTCAATGATTTTCTCATGGATCCCATCTTCAGATCTATTCAGATCTATTCAGATCTATTCCTTTTCTAACAAAAAGAGAATTATAGAAATATCTGTATAAGTAAAAACTTGCATGAGCTCCGACACACCATTTTCTCCTTAATGGTCCGTATTCGAGAAATTTGACAAAATGTGCAAAATTCTGATTTTTATGAAAATTGTTGAACTAAAAGTTGTTTGCGATATCGATCTCTATAATTTTTGTTCATACATGATTTTTCTAAAATGAACCGTAATGGAAAAATTGTAGGAAAAGTGCTAAAGTTAAATTTTTCAGTATTTTCGTTTTCAATGAATATCTACAGAAAAATATTTCGAGGTAGATGTATATATTTAGTTTATCCTGTAAACATTTATAGAGGTGCGGCAATAGGTTGTACAAAATAACCGGAAAAAGCCTATAATAACTAGATAGGAAAGTCATGTATTGGACACATCAGATTTTTGATATATGGAATTGCCTTTCTGTACTATTTCTATGATATTCACCAATCCATATTATAGTCTAGAGAATAAAGGAGTGCAGGTCCAATGATTGCCACAAAACATTCACAAACACAAGGTATGTAACACATTAATATTTACAGTTAATAAGACACAGAAATATACAGAATGTGTCCAAAAACGAAGTTAATTGCCAAAATCAGTTATCAAAAGTGTTAGATCGAAATCATATCGTAACATCACTCCCCCACCCAGAGCCAGAAATTTTCCGCAGTGCTAGCTGCCAACCATCAAATCCATCTCAGCTACAGCCATAAGGTCTTGTAGCTCATAAGTGCACTGTTATTGGTCTATCCAGATCGACTTAATCCCCCAGACAGCTACTCCATACCTAACCCCACATTGGACTTCAAATTAGGTCAATAACATTTCTCAGATATACTCAACAAACTAAAAGATTACCCTGTGTCACACCACGGGGCATCATATAACTGGGCTACGATAACAGGCACAACTTTAATTCAACTGACACATGACATCTTAACATTAAAACGACTTATATTCCCGTTTAGAGAATTAGCCTGATTCACGACTCCACCAACAGAACTGACTTCATTCATTTATTCAACCTTCCTTGACACTTAGATTACCAACTTCACCATTATGACAGATTCAAACAAATTTAATTAAAAAAAAAAAACACAAAAATAGGAAGTAAAGTCACTAAATATCAAGATAACAATATGAACAAACCTTGATCATACACAGTGACCAAAAATCAATAACAAAATGAGAACAGCAGAGTCCCACTACAATCCAATGTAATCAAATACAACAACAAATTGGGATCTAACTGTAGTCAACAAAATAATCCTAAACTGAGAAATCAAAATCAAAATCAAAATACCACTCTGGGAGTCATGTATTAACACTTTGGGGCCAGTTGTAACAACAATAGAAACCAACGTTAGATGTCAGATGTTAGAATGGCAACTGGGTGAAAGAAATCCACGTTCAGGTCCAATGATTGCCACCAAGGCAATTTCCAATTCACGAAGATCTACAGGTATCGCAAATAGCTTCGACTCTCTGATGAACATCCCTGGAATCGGTTTCGCTCTGAGTGGAGAAGGCATGGTTCGTTTAGTACCAAGATTTACAGTATTCAAATTAGGGCGCCAGACCGATTTAAATACCAGATAAATATGTTTCCTTGTCCCTAACTTAAATCGATCAAACAATAGGAACGAAATGAGACAACTCCTGCTCATTTCATTAAATAAGTTGTTAAACTGAACAATGTACCCCCAGATTTTATAATAACACAGCAACGGTAGTAACTTCTAACATAATTTATCAATAACTATGTTCCATAAATACGTGACGTTCAATCATACAACTATTATTTTATATACAGAGTAAGTAAGTCCCTTGGACAAAAAAAATAGTAAAATAAATCGGATCGTAACATCACTGGGGGACCCATTAATATGTCTGACATTGGGGCACTAATGTTCCCCCTAACTTACTAGGAATGTCACTTCTAGTTTTTTATTTTAAAAATTTATATTAGTTAATTTTTGTATAGCCGAGATTAGTTTCTTCGAATTAATATTTTTTACATTGTGTGTCTTGAACTACATACTTTACAACATTTTCCTTCTTCCTTCTAGGCTTGGACCGAAACCGGTAGCATTTATTTGTAAATAAATGAACAATTTTATGAAGTATTATTTTAAGTATTTTATTTTTATTTAAGTTGTTATTGTTTTTAAACCAACGCATTTCAATTTCCATTATCTCTTTATGGGGACAAAAAAGATTCTCATAATTAGTCAAGCCTACAAGAATTTAAATATTAGTCATTTATTATATTCAATATACAGAGTGAGAGACTTTGAAAAACAAATGTTTAAAAAGAGGTTGAGTGGTGTGTACACACGGTAATAAGAAATGAATCGAGAGTATTTAAAGTGTGTAAATTGAGTTTTATTAATAAAACTGTGTAAAAATTTGTCTAAGCGCTTTCGGCCTATTAGGCCATCATCAGAGACTTTACAAAGCAAAAAAACGGAGCTGTAACAATATAATCAACTCGTAACAATACTAAACAATGAATAAAAAAACTTGAACTCGTCAAAAACTATAGAAGAGACATGACAAATGCACTAAGTTAAAAAGAACAGCAACAGACCTGTCCCAAGACACCACCATAGCTTGTAGCTATGAGGTTGAATTTTAACAAGTGAAGTGGGGGTTCATCCAAAAAAGTAAAACTGAACACTCCAAACCATTCAAAGGAAAAGATACTGCTGGTCTTCAACATGAAGACAGCCAGATTTTTCCAGTTGCTACCGTGAGGCGGAGGCAAGTTGGGGCACAAAAAATAGTAGGTACACGATATTTTTGAGAACGTGGCCATCTTGACAGTTTCCAAAAAAGACTGAGTGACAATTGACATTTGACAATGAGGTTGTCAAGAAAATTGCCAACTTGAGAAATTGAAATAAATTTCGTGAAAAATTGTCAAAAGTTGATATTGAAAATGATAAAAGTGGGTTGGTACCACTGATCTAGCAAGATAAAGTTATGGCGGGACTTTTAAATTTTAAACAGCAAAAGATTACAATGATTAAATAGAATTATAAAATATACAGTGAATGAAGGTGAAAAACATATTTTTTAAATAAAAATTGTTAGAAATTTAAAGGTGCCAGACTGAAAACAACAGAATTGAGCATGCCGACCCCAGTGGAACCAAAGTCGCAGGTAGACCAGCTTTTCCAGCTAAAAGAGAAGGGAAAACCGTCCTGGCCACAAAATCAGCAAACGCCGGAGAAGACAAGATCAACTCCGCTGCAAGAAGATTCATGGCGAAGCTGGCTAGGTAACTTCAGACCAACCGTTACCAATACTCTCAAAGAGAAGAGGCACTTTGCTATTGAGATGTATTTGAGTGTTAACACATGTGACATTTGTTTTATTAAACTCTCTGTGTATCTTAAGGTCTTCGAGCAGATTTAATTTAAAATTGCAATTAAAAATATTATGAAGAACAGTGACATTCTCAGAAGGAGTGAAATTATGATTATTGAATTTAATATGATGTCCAAAAGTAGACTTATCTGGATATCTGATGTGTTCACCAGCTCGTATGTGGAGTCTCCTCTCAGTTTATATAAGATGTATTGCAGTCGTTACAGCTTAATCTATAGATACCATTTTTGTGTAGCAACTTGATTTCATCCTTAGTATGTGATAGTTGGCTTTTAATCGAATTAACATTTTTAAAGGCAATTTTAATATTGTTGCAATCCTTAAAAACTGCAGCGACATCATTGGAAATTTTCCCGAGATAAGGTAGTGAAAAGTATTTAAAATTTGCAGGAGGATCGTTAATAGGATTAAAAGCAAGTTGGGACCTTTTCTTTAGTTTGACCTTAATAACTACGTTAATAATGGAAGGATTGTAGTTGTTATTAAAGGCTAATTAAAATTCAACCTCATGTTCGGTGTGGTTCTTTTATTTTCAATTATCCTAGCTACAAGCTATGGTGGTGACTTGGGACAGGTCTGTTGCTCTGCCCTACTAAGCGAAAAGGGGGTATCTACATTTTTTTCGAAATATGAGATATTTATGTCTAGCCATTCAAGGCACTTTATTTTATCTAGTACTAGAGTGAATTTGCCGTATCTATACTACAAATATTATAATTTAGACTATAAGTTTAGCCGTATCTACAAAGCATACAGTATATACTAAGCATTTGGGCGGGAAGTAGCAATACTAGACAATAATGGTGGTATCTACACGACCTTATGCAGTTACGGCTGAAGTTGCTTAGTAAACGTCACTTATTGTCAAAGTCGTTTAGTATTAATATTGTGATTAGTATTGCACTTAATTTTAAACTGTGAGCACGTTCTAATCGCCCACTGAAAAAAAATTGTATTTCTTTTAATTTTTTTCGTTTATTTTTGTTAGTTCGGGATAAAACAACGTTGGAAATATTTTTAATTGTGTATATGAACATTACATACAATAATTTTAAAGTGATTTACTAAAGATTTAGAGGTAAGTTCTTAATTTTACTACCATAACCTAAAATATTAACAAAATAATGTTTGCATAAAGAAGACTTTGGTTTTGCATATTCTGATCTCTTTTACGCAAAAAGTATTATAGATTTCGTTGTGAATAATGCGTTTCTGATTTTTTGCATTGTTTTAACAAACTGAAGATGTTTAAATATTTAATTCGATTTTGCGTTTATTGCATTTTATTAAAAATTTATGGACATAGTCTTGCAAAAGTTTTTTTTTATTTCAGATGAGTAGGGGGAAAAAGCTGCTTGACATAGCTCTTGCCTCGGCTCTTACGAACCCAACAAATAGTACAGATTGGGAAAATATTATTGAAAATGCGCCAGTTATTTTATTGGAGAATAGCGATATTCAAAATCCAGCAAATTCTTCGGATACAAAAAATATCACCCATAAACTTCCAGATCCAGAAACATTCAAAATAACTGGTAATTTAATGGAATATGAAGAGAATGCGTTGGGTTTACGTGAATTGGTAGAAAATGACATACAAATGGAAGTAGACGGCAATTTGGGAATAAATATTATGATGATGGAAGGCATGATAGTGGAGAACAATAATGAATTAATAACTCTTAACCGTGATGAAAACCCAGAAGAATATGTACTTGAAAATTTGGAAAACGCGTTTCAAGAAAATGGAAAAGAAATGGAAGAACGGTATGAAAACGAAGCAACTACGTTGGTTTTGCGTGAATTGGCAGAAAATGACGTCCACATCGATGTAGACAAGAATTTGGGAGCAAATATTACAATAATGGAGGCCATAGTGGAGAACAATCATGAATTAGTAACCCATAATCATGAAGAATACCCAGAAGTACCTGAACCTGACAATTTGGAAAACATGATTCAAAATAATGGAAGAGAAAAAGAAGAACGGAATGAAAATGAAATAGAAACTCGCATTACTAAAAAAGGGGAACAACGAAGGCGTAAAAAATTTAAATATTCAACCGAAAAAAGAAAAATAATTAAACGAAATAAACTAAGGGATTCACATTCAGTTAGGGATGGATGTGGTGATCAATGTAAGAAAAAATGTAACAGGAAGATAAATCAAGAAAGAAGAACTGATATAAATAATCAGTTCTGGAATCTAGACCGCGAACAACAGCACCAATTTATGCTGTCGTGCATCAGCCAGACAAGCGTGAAACGTAAAACGGTTGGATTAGAGTCTCGCAGATCTCATACGCTAATGTATTCTTTAAAAACAGCAGACGGAGAATGTAAACCAGTGTGCAGAACCTTTTTTCTTACCACTCTAGGGTTTCACAAAAATAACGACAAAATTCTAGAAAGATTTTGTACATCTTCGAACTCATTGCTCGCTCCAAAGCCACATAGAAATCGTGGAAAAGTACCTCATAATAAATTGGACCATGCAATAATTGAAAAACATATAGAGTCTTTCCACCCATCGATATCGCATTATCGTAGAGAACATGCACCCAAGCGACGTTATTTACCAAGCGATGTAAACATAAAAGATATGTTTGGCGATTTTCAAATGAGCAATCGAAAAATACCTTGTTCGTACGATTTGTATCGCTCAATAGTACAAAAGTTAAATATATCTTTTGTAACGTTGGGTCACGAAGAATGCGAAATATGTGAGAACTTTAAAATCCATCCTCATTCAGAAGAAAATTTACAAAATGATTGTTCCGACTGCGAGAAGTGGTCAAAACATATAAACCGGAGTAAAGATGCAAGGCTGCTTTACAGAGAATATGCCAACAAAGAGCCAGAAGAAGGGGAAGTTACATATTCTGTTGATTTGGAAAAAATCATAATGTTGCCCCGGTGTGAAATGTTCAAATCAGTTATATTCATTCCACGATTGATTGCATATAACGAAAGTTTCGTTCCGGTAGGAACTAAGAACAAAAATATTAAACCTGTGGCCGCAATTTGGCACGAGGCAATTCGAGGACGAAAAAAAGAAGACATAATAAGTACCTTTCACAAATTCTTTTTATTAAAGAGAGATGCGAAAAAAATAATTCTGTGGGTAGATAATTGCACTTCACAGAATAAAAACTGGGCATTTTTTACGTTTCTAGTTTATATAATAAACTCATCCGATATATCCGCCGAAGTAATAGAAATAAATTACTTCGAACCAGGCCACACATTTATGAGTGCCGACGCATTCCACCACCAAGTAGAAAAATCTCTACGGAAAATGAAGAAGGTTTATGACTTTCCAGAATTTAAACAAGCTGTTCAACAAGCCAATTCTGGCAGAGTGACAGTTTTGGAAATGGAACTCCGTGATTTCTACGACTGGCAGGATTTTTCATCCACTTACAAACTGAAAAAAGCAAATAGTACGCGGCCATATATCCATGATATGGTTCAAGTCACGGCCCACAGGGGATCAATGTCATTACTTTATAAAAACAATTTTAGTGGCTCTGATTTAACATTAGATTTCTTGAATGCCAAAATTACAAAGACTGGAATACCAGTTCCACCAATAAGAGAAAAGCCAAGAGGCATCACAGAAGAAAGACGTAATATTATTATCTCAAAGCTTTTAGAAGCCGACAATGCTATTATGCCGAAAAATCGTTTACATTTTTGGAAGGAACTACCTACCACTCAATGCCTTGAAAATGATAATGATGATGATTAATAATAGTTTTCCAATTAATATCTAAGTCATTTTTCAGAAAATATCTTGTTATTCAAACAAAACCATTTAAAAATAAACGTTTGTATGTAGATACTGTTTTTTTATTTTAGTAATTCGTAAGCATTTGTTAAGGCAGAATAGGGGTAACTACAATTATTTTAGAAAAAAATATAAATAAATAAATTGTATTATTTTCATAAAAAAAAACGAAAAAAACCGTATATATTTTCGCTTTTAACTTAAATATTGCACATAAAATAATAATGGCATTAAATGAAATCTTAATACCTGCTAAACTCAAGACACTATAAATCACAGATACCCCCTTTTCGCTTAGTAGGGCAGTGCTGTCCTTTTCAACTTAGTGCATTTGTTATGTCTCTTCTATAGTTTTTGACGAGTAAGTGTTCAAGTTTTTTATTCATTGTTTAGTATTGTTACGAGTTGATTATATTGTTACAGCTCCGTTTTTTTCTCTTTGTAGAGTCTCTGATGATGGCCTAATAGGCCGAAAGCGATTAGACAAATTTTTACAGAGTTTTATTAATAAAACTTAATTTACACACTTTAAATACTCTCGATTCATTTCTTAAATGTTTAAAAAATTTCATGACAGTATAATTTCTCGGCAAGTAAAAACGACTATATAATAATATTGATAAATATTTTATTGATTAAGACATGCAAGAAATAAATCTACGGGGTCCAATTAAAACAGTTTACCTGAAATATTTTCCTAGAACTTCTTCTGGGAAATCCACGAAATCAAAGGGAACTTCTTTGGATATTTATTTAATTCATGAATGTAGGTTCATTCCCTTCAAGAATACTAAATGGCACGAGCTGTCAAATGGCACATAATTTTAAAGGTATTTATTTAAATTATCTTTTCAAACATATTTTAATGTTTGTTTTCCGTAAAATAACCATTTTTTGACATTTTTCGAAATAAAAAATATTTTTGGACTAGTTTTGGTCTATCTAGCTTTTTCATCTTTTTTATCAATAAATTTCTATTATTTTAAACCTATTTAGCGTCATTTTTTAAAACTTGAAATTGAAAATATTTGTTTTCCGTAATTCAATCAGTTTTTGAGATTTTCAATTACATCATATTTTACTCACTGGTTACTTAGAAAATTTTTCGTTCCACTTTTTATGATTTTGCTAAATTTAATTTATCTCATTCCGTTTAGGACATAATTTACATAAAAAAAATGTCAAACATTATTCAATGACTTCATATAGATTTATAAGAACCCTTACTTCCTGCTTCAAGTCAAAATTTTTCGGCGCATTGTAAATTCTAAAAAAAAAACACACCCTTGAAGATTATTGTTCTGTTTCCTCTCTTTTAGTCGCAGAGGTAAACGACATTGCGATACACCTTGTATGTTCTATTCAACAATAACAACCCGAGGGTACGAAAAGCGACCCCTTTTATTTTCCTAAAAACGACCTTGATGGAACTCGAAAAATTCCACGTCTATATATATGAACGACGCCCATTCATGCGTTATCTTTATCTGCCGGTTTAATTTCCCGAACCCCATTCCAAGATAACCATAAAAAAAAGAACAAAAAGGACCCCATGCATGTGTACAACCCATCTGCTTTGCGCCGTGCTTGCTATCGCGCGATACTAGATCACAATAATGTAATCAGAAGTTCATAGGCGGAGAGGGAGGAGAGTAGGTCAGCTAGCTGGGTCACTTCAAACTCGGATCCAGATTTGAAAAGACGAACTAATATTTATAGATTAGAAATCGCTATACCTGCTTTCCTCAAATTGGAAGACAATATATCCAACAAGAACCTCAACTTTGCCCTGATCTATGACACAAATGTAAATTCAAAATGTATCACTCTACCTACAATAAATAAAGAGCAGAAAAAAATAGAAAAAAGGACACATAACAAAGACACTAGAGATAATAAACACGATGGACAATAGACTAGTTAAAATCTTGACACTCTTGAACAGCGTTTGCCTTGGAGTGTTAGATAAGTATAATAGTTACCTCTCACAAAGAATGTTACCAGTCATATTACAATTGAAATTCTATTACTAAGAATAATGCAGAATAAAGCACATTACAAAAAAATGTCAAAAAATTGTAAGTAAGGAAATTTTATTTTCTGTGAAAAAATGTTATATCGTAACAAAAACATAACTTAATAATCTGTATTATCGCCCCTCCTTTTAATCAATTGGTCAACGCGTCGTGGCATCCCGCGGATCAATAAAATGATCAAACATATTGTCCCAATCTTCTTGAACAGCTACAGTTAAGCCCTGGAGGGTTAAATGGGGGTTTCTCGGTTGGATATTGCTCTGCCAAGATAATCCTATATATGTTCATGTCTGTTGAGTTTGGAGACTAGTTAATTATTTGGATATTTTCTTTCTGCAGCATGTTCTGTACCCTTTGCTTATGACGCGATCCGGCATTTTCATCTTGAAAAATAAACCTATTTCCAAATTTGTTGTGCAAAGGCTGAATGATTGGTTTAATAATGTTTTCAGCGTATATGATACTTGTCATAGTTCTCTCATTCAAAATAAGTTTTGTCCTGTGACCAAACACTATACCTCCCAAAACATCACTGATCTGTCTTGATAGGAAATAACACTTCTTGCCAAAGTAAGTCTGCCTGGACTCCTCCAGACCCTTTCTCGCCGGCTATCACTCTGTAGGTCAAACCCTGACTCATCCGAAAAAAGGACGTTGCGCCATTGTGGCAAAAGGTCAGTTCCTGTACGCTTGAGCCCATTGAAGACGTGCAGCTCTGTGTGGGGTAAGTGCCTAGGCACTCTTAAAAGTCTTCTTGCACTTAGATTTGAGGAATGCAGCCTTTTTTATGGTACTTCTCGAAACTACTCTCCGGTACTTTTGCTAAAAATTACTTACCGTTATACTTCGGTTCCTTCGGGTAAAATTTGCCATATAGTCTTCTGTCTCTGGTGTAACTCTGTGTTAACCAGTCACCGTCCTTCGCACAACACTGCCCGTTTTCTGGAAAAAGGCCACTATGCTCCTTACCGAAGTCCGTGAAATGTTTACATGACCCGCAATCTGGTGATTTGACAAATCCTCTTGATGTAAGGCCACTATTCTTGCCCGGACAAACTGAGAAATCGGATGACTTGACATTTTATGACAAATTTACTTGATACTTTAGTACTCGATCTCAGCTTAGAACTGATTTTTTTTCAAATAGTGCATATTTTCGCACGAAAACAATTTTTTTTGCTTACAACCTGTTGTGTTTATGTATGATAAGATAGTGAAGAATGTATAAACAAAAAAATAGTCACCTTACATTGACCGCGGTGAAAGTTACCAAGGGGGGCCAAGACTTTTGAAGATGTGTGTATTATCTACATACCTTACCTAACCTAACTCACTGGAATATAAAAGAATTATCAAGAATGCATGTTTTATCTAATTTGCATTCCATTGATATTCAAAGAAAGATACCTGAGTCATCCATTGGTTGGTCCAGATAACGAGAGCATACAGCCCTATCTACCAAAGTTGCCTAGGCACTAGTATATGATGGGTCTAAAAGTACACTTTCTTGAGACACATCATCTCTTATCGATATCTGCAGTCAAGCCAGGCCCAACGCAGTTAGTAGTTAAATGGTTGACCATTTCAATGAAAGACGGCGTACGTTCGAACAAACTGCTCGTTTAGTTGCATACCACAGAGGACAGGCGTTATATCAATGAGTACAAGGTATAGCGTGGGATGTGTCATCTTTTCGGAGGAGATGTAAAACCGTCGGTCCCGAGTCCAGGGATGTTGGGCTCGTTAAACTACCTTTGGCGAGTGCTGTAATTCATCAAATGAGTTACAACCATTACATGAAGGGCTAAACTGCATTGAGTTTCAGGATTATATCAACATTAAAGTACCCCGCCCTGGCCTTAGAATATACTCAAGCTTTTACTTGCCAGCTGCAAATACAAATATTTTGAACGGTTCTCCAATTTTTCAAATGATCAATAATTATCATCGCCTTCAAGACAGTTTGGATATTTTTAGTTGTAAGAAAATAGATATTTTTAGAGCTATTACCATAGAAACTGAGTAGGTGTTTATCCTGCTTGGTAAGTTGATAATTTATCTTTTGTGTGTATTTATTTTATTTTAATTTTTCAATTTTTTTAAATTTGTTTTATGTTCCTTTAAAAACTTAAATATTACTGAATATTTTACCTTAAGTTTTCCTTAAAAACAGACTTCGTTGTACTTCTTATTTGTTTCATGTTCAGTCATATCTGATGTCCTTAACTCGTTTGTGATGTATATCATTAGTATATTGTATTTGTTTTTAATTTATGTTCATCCCACTCTGTAATTGGTTTTTAACTGTTGAGTGGTGTACTAAATAAACAAAATAAATAAATAAATTACCGCAAGTTCAATACTATACTTTATCTGCGACTATAACAATAAATACTAAGATACAAATATCGAGAAAGAACTTTATTCACAAATCTTAATAGTTATAACAAACAATTATAAAAAAGTTTTAGTTGTAATTACTCATTTTGTTTATTAATGATATTAACTGTAAAGTTTGAACAACCAGTAAACTGAGTATGTGGAACTGTATTTTGCAAGTTTATTGTTTGTTTTTGTGTTTGTTGTATATATGTTGTAGATGTATTAACTGGTTGTATATACTTTATTTGCAGTATCTTTATTTCTTTTTTTTTGTGTCATCGGCTTCAACTGCTAAGGTTATTTCGCCTCGTGTTCTGTGTAGGCTTTGTTACTGTTTCCCAGCGCCACTTTAGAAACAGCACTGTTAATTAGAACCCAACAGTGAATGGTCGAGTGGGGAATTCTACCAAGACATTAGAATTAATTTTAAATAATTAAATTAAATAAAAAATCCCGGCCAACGGTGGGATTCGAACCTGGGACCCTTGGATCCACAGGCAGAGACTCTACCACTGAGCCACCCACCCCGTTATCTTTCTTATT